ATATGTCTGTTCTGCAATGGCAGATAGATCAGGGATGCTGAGAGGAGGTCCACTCTCAAAATCCACACCGACTGTTTCAAACTGTATTTAAATACATTTAAAAAGCACCAATAACTCAAAGGTAAATATTATACTGGATAAAGTGCTAGTCTATTTTTTTTGTCTTTTCTTAAAATAAGCAGTTCATATGCCAGCTGTTGGCAGAACTGTAGAACTGGAAAAAAAATGTAAGAGCAGAACTTACTTTCAGATTTGAGGGATAGACTTTATATTTCATGTTTTGTGATGATTCTGTTCTCGTTTTTATTACAGAAAGCTGCCCTCAGACCTCAGCACCGCCCAGTGACAACAGACAAATCATCCTGTATGTTCACTGTTTGTAGAAACTCCAAAATTAACTTATGAAAAAAGTCTAAAGTACCACATGATGTGAAAGTTGCAGCTTTTTAAAGACAAAAAAATCAAATCAAAGGGATTAATCATCCATATAACAGTTTCACTATATAGGAGCATAAACACTACCTCAGTTGTTTTTTCAGAGAGCTGCTGATCTCAGACCTTCACAGCTTCTCTTTTAACACTGAATGTACTCAATTGGTTCCTTAGTCTACCTTAAATGTCACATATATTGACCGTTACCTGCACCGTCACATAGTGCATATTTACACTACCCAGCTGGTTGTGGATTGTGCTTCTGGCACACCAGAGTGTCTCTTATTTGATAATTAAAGATTTGGCAACCCTAGCTCGGGGTTAGAGCTTATCCCAGCTATCATTGGGTGAGAGGAGGGGTACACACTGGACAGGTCACCAGTCTGCTGCAGAGCTAATACAGAGAGACAGACAACCATTCTCACTCATATTTATACCTATGGGTAATTTAGAATCCCCATTTAACCTAACCTCAGTAACTGCACGTCTTTGGACTGTGGGAGGAAGCCGGACTACCTGGAGAGAACCCACATTTAATATGTTCGTTTAAAACGTAATGTAGACTCTGATCAAGGGACAAGATTTGAGAATCATCCACTGGGCTAATAATGTTTATTTTCCCTTTAAAAAAACATGAACAGTACAAATAAAACAGCATGTTAAGTCACTGCTATCTTTTTCCCCTTCTTTCAGCTGCTCCCTTTAATGTTCGCCACAGTGGATCATTTGTCTCCATCTCACCCTATACCCAGCATCCTAATCTGTCACACCAACTGTTTGCGTGTCCTCCATCCCTAAATCCACTCTGTGTTCTTATTTCTTCCATATCCACTATCTCTTCTTTGCACAAGTCCAGATGATCTGAGCCTGCCTCGCTAACTATGACTCCAAAGTTGGTGCCCTCTGGTGGTCAGAGGGCCCGGTGGTGCCAGTGTCCGGCAGCCTCGCCTCTGTCAGTGCGCCCCAGGCTGGCTGTGGCTACAATGTAGCTGCCATCACCAGTGTGTGAATGGGTGGATGACTGGATGTGTAAAGCGCTTTGGGGTCCTAAGGGACTAGTAAAGTGCTATACAAATACAGGCCATTTACCATTTACCTTTCCAAAACACTCTACCTGAGCCGTCCTTCTCTATACTCTTGGTCTGGTCACTCCCACTGAAAATCTTAGCATCCTCAGTGCTGCCTCCTCCAGCTTCACCTTCACCATCTCCAAACCACACATAGCCGGTCTCACTACTGTCTAGTAAACGTTCCCTTTCACTCTTGCCATAGTGCTGCTCACTGACTGTAACTTGTCTTCTTCGCATTTAGCTTCAAAAACTTTTTTCCGTAGCTTAAAGTCCACTGCCTTCTTCATTCCTCCACAGGTATATCATCGGCACCCTTCCACGCTAATCTTCGTTACTAATCCTCCGCACTTCCTAATTCACTAACTGTCTGACATTTGTCCTCTTCTCTCTCAATTTCTCTATTCATCAACTCATCAAGGCACTCCTCCCATATTCTCAGCACACTCTTATATTTCTGTCTCCATGCTTAATTAATCACTCCAACCTGCTGCACATCCTTTCTAACTTCATCTCTCTGCCTAGCAAATGATGCATCACCACCATCTCTTTGTCCTCTTTCTTATGCTCAGAGGAAACACGTGCCGCTTTTGGGCAGTTTCTCTCACCACTTTAGCTGTAATTTCCCAGTCATCTGAATATTCTTCCCTACCTTCCTGAGCCTGTTTTAACTCACCACTAAACTCTGCAAAGTATTCTTCCTTCTTCACTTCCTCCATTTAATCCTTGCCACTGCATTCACTCACTTCCTCTTCATGATTTCATGATTTCCTAGACAATTTCTGACATCCGCCCATTAGTTTCCAGCTTCAAGTTCATGATCCTGTCTGACATTCAACTCCATAGCACTCCTTCAAGGTTCCCCATTCTCCATTTCATTTACTATCTGCACTGTAGTAATAGAGTTTGAATCCACGTCCAATGCTCCTGGCTCTACTTCCCTTCTCCCGCACACACAATACATCTGTCTTCCTTCTCTCCTTCATATCACCCAGCTCTCTCCCTTTACTAGTCATAGTCTTTACTTTTTAAAATCACTACTCACATCTCCAAACTCCCGCCCTTTTTTCTGTCTCACTGACTCCAAATACACCTCCCCCTTTACTTTTCTTCTGTCTTCAGCTGATAACTAAAAGAGGCTAATCAAAATATAGTTACATAAAGTTTAATAATTTGAAAATAGATATCAATATGCAGATTATAAGTATAAAATGTACATAAAGTTGAAATAATTTGGTCCCTTTACAAATATATAAATAATAACAATTTTTCATCATTGCTTGAAAAAAAAAGATGTTGGTCTAATTTATCTTTGAGTTAAAAATACAAACAAACAAAGGCGATGTAAGTGAAGTTTAACACAGCAATTACTGTAAAACAGTGAGCAAGATTACAGTTCAGCCTTCAATAATATCTTTATTTGGTTTTTAAGCAAAAGCTAGAAAACAGTGACAAAATTAAAAACTTTGACCAACACAAGTGGAAACAAAAATAAAAGAAATATTTGGAACAGAGTGAAAAAATGGAAAGAAGGAAGACTTCACAAAATATTCTGTACAACACTTTAACATATTTACACGCAGCTTCTACATAACAAATGGAACTGGTGAGCAGTATATAATAACCTCATCCTGTACACACTGTGTAGAAAGCTCAGCATGCTTCATACAAAAATATCCAACAGGTTATGTGACTTTGGGTTTGTTTACATATAGTCATAACACAAACATGCATGTTTTAAACGTTGTTTGATACAAATCTACCCTACTTTTCATATATCTGTTATGTGCTGGATTATTAGGCTGGCAGTCTGAAATAGAAGGATTGATTCTGCACAGTACACAAGTAAACACACAGAGGAATGTTGTCTGAAATCTTTTTCAGATATGAATACAGATAGTACAATCATTAGCAGCATAACAGCCATATAAGCATGCAAAATAACATATTTCCTGGTGTTGTCATATAAAAATAGAGTCCTCCCTCACACTTACTTGCAGGATTATGACAGAAATAAGGCCACATGTCCATTTCCCTTCTGATACAATGTGACAAATACTCAGTAATCCAGATAAATATCATATAATCCATTCGTTGTTGTTATTATTGTTTCTGTTTTCGTGACACACCCAGGTTGAACATTCTAAAACCCTACATAAAAAGGTCAGAGACAAAAGAAAATTGATGAAACTTCACAGTATTTGTTTTATGGAGTGGTACCAAAAAAAGAGCCCACCTAACAGCAAAAATACTGTCGTTGCAAAAACTCAGAAGGCTAAAATGTTAGAATATAGATGAAAATGGACAAAATAAACACCAATGAAATGGAGCCATTTTACAACATATACAATAAATACAGAAATCCATTGTAATAATTAAAAACACATCCTAATACAAATATGCTACTGGACAGAACCCACACTGCACAAAATCAAATACTTTTCTCTTATATCTTATTTAATTTGACCTCATCTTGTCTCATTACGTCTCTCCACTTCTTAGCTAGTGATATACCAAGTTTGATCAAGTGTTTCTAATGCAGTGGCAGATCCTCTTTCCTTCAATATGCTGGAGTTTCAGGACAGAAGTCCTAACAAACTATTTGTTTGTAATTCTAGCACTGTGCACCTTTTTACTAGCAACATTCACGTGTAGCCTGTCTTTGAACTGCAAACTAAACACACCGGAAACAGAAACAATGGGGTTAACAAAATCAAGCCAGGATTGAAGTGCCAAAACTGCAGTTTCATGAATCACTTGAGGCTGGCTTCAAAAGCAAGTCTAACCTCACTGTCTGCCATGTTAATCTATTTATTTAAAAGGGACAGTGCAGTTTAACATAGTCCAAGTACAAAACATGAAACAGATGTAACGCACATAAGTTTATAGCTATTGCTAATTTTCAACAATTGTCCCTTGTTGGGCTTACAATCAAATGCCTGTCTCGACACCATTAAAAAGTATAGTAGAAAAAAAACAGGATTGAATGAATAGGATTCGCTTCATAAAAGCTATGGTAGTACATCTTTTTTTTTAATTCAACCTTTTGAAAATACTTAAAGTGATTTGGTTAATAGGTGTGTCATCTACAGGGAGCTTGAGTCACTGCTAAACCGGTGCTGTCTTTGTTGATTCATGTTATCGATGCACCTTGCTCAACCTAGCTAGCATTAGCTTGCTAGCATTAGCTGGTAAGTTAAAACTTGTCCCTCTTATCTAAATATGGTCCGGCTTCAAAAACTGATGGTGGTGGCTACATGGGGGGTTAACCGAGACAACAGTTTAGTTCCCGAAGTTTTGAAAGAAACTGGAAATGTTTCTTTTGCAATGAGCTGACATCAGTTCACCACAGATTTCTTTCTGTGGTCACACCTACAAAATTCGAGCACTGCTCTCAAGCACTGGGTGGTTTCCGTCACTTTCCAGAGGATGGCCAGTGAGAAGATTGAATTTTAGGGATAGAGGGCTCTTACAGAGACAGGAGCATAAAAGGAATGAGAAAAGTGAATTGATGAATAATAATATTTTAATAATGATTAATGTTTGTTGCATTTTATCCTATTTCTTGGCCACACAGCAGCTGGTTTTTCCTGCTTTATTCTTGCATTTGTTTTGTCTGTGTACTTGTAAGCTGCAGTGTGTTGGGCTCTTTGGGACTGCCAATGAAAGATTTAGGTTTTCTGTTCAAGCACTTGCTCTCTTTTGCTTAAATCATTCATGCACACAACAAAAGCAAGGAAAATAAAAATACAGGATATGAGAAGAAGAAAAAACAAGAATTCGGCATGCATGATGAAGATAAAGTTTGCAAACTGAACAATGCAGCACTAAGTACCAAACCTCACATTCGATTTCTTCTTCTTCTTGGTGTTTCCCACTCTTCCCACACATTTTCTTTGCTACATTTGAAGTTTTCTGGCCTGTAAAATCTGCAATGGGAAACCCTTTTCATTTTAAATAGGTACAAGCTGTAGACAGTTTCAGAACCAGAGGCACCTTCCTCATGCATGATTCATCCCAAATGACAGCCACAGCCAGGAGATTTACAGTTTAGAAGAAGAATGGGGACAGAGCTCACAGACACGGCTATGTTCGACTTTTTAACCAGGGCTGAAATGATCTGCCCTTCCATATGTTCAAATTGTACAGCGGCTGCAGGTGCAGAGGAGCAGGGGATGGCTGATTTCATACCCTTGTATGTTTACTCCTTTCAGGAGGTGCTCACAAGCAACTCTCTTCATGTCCATGGGGGATTTTAACTTTAAACTTGCCCTGTCTTCTAACAGTGTCTTTGAAAAGGAGAGCAATTTCCATGCCTTTGCTAAAGTAAACTAAAACAAAAGTTTCATTTTCTACAGTAATAGACAGCATATAATTTTAAGAAAAGAGCCAGTGTTCCTTGGGCCTCAGTTGCAAGAACCAAGACATGATTTAATAGCCACTGAAACACCCTGAGAATAAGCAAATAAGGACAGGATATTACCCTCAGAGCTGTCTTTCTTCACAGCTGATAGAAATCAGTTTAGATGGCTGCTACAGCATTTATTATTCTATTACGGCAAACTGTGAACAAGACCAGTAGTAGAATCTTTTGACTTCCCACCTTTGCAAGAAAGGTCAATAAAGCGTCCATAGTGGATTCCAACACACAAAGGAAACAATAGATTTGAATGGAGCCCGTGTGTCTGTGCAGAATCGTGTGTTATACCTGGAGAGTGTTTGTGACAGATGTTGACAAAAAATCAGAAACATAAAAAAAGATTTAAAAATCTATTCTCTATGCTTCTTGTACATGTCTTGCAGAGGAATCCTCGTAGTCAGTGCTTTCAGAAGGAATTCTTAGGTTCAGTTTACTGATTTGGTTTCTGTCAGATAACCTTGAAAACCCCAGAACACACCTACACACACACATGCACACACACACTTCCCTTTGCCCAAACAGCTTGCTCCACTCTGCCTGCTGTCCTTCTCTCAGGGGTGAGGGTTGCAGTGCTTGGTCGTAGACGTATTGGTTGCAGTTGTGGTGGACACTGAGGGGGAGTCGGAGGTGACGGGCAGGGGGGGGCGGGGTTCAATCCCCCGACTCTTCATGAATGACAGCAGCTGGTCAGGGATCTCTGCCAGGACATCCTTAGCCAGTCGGGCCATGCTCAGGACCTGGTTCCCTGACCGGTCGATGTAGTCCCGGAAAGGAACAAACTGGATCGGAGGCAAAAGTGACTGTTCAGTTCATTTGGTGTTTGTAGGTTCCTTCAGCATCTAAGGTGCTGCTAATACGCTTTCATACAGTTGAGGAGTTATTACTTTTAATGTTGCAGATGTATTGACATAACAGTACATCAAGCTCAAACTGTGAAGCTTCAGATTATCGTTGGTAACATTTTTTTGCTCTAAGATTGAAATATTCACAAAAAACGACCTGCCAAAAATCACACAGTAAATCATAAACTGTAAGTAAATTTTCATGTATCTGAAAATGTTGGGGTTTTTGCTCTAGTTGTCAAGACATAAACATTTTTTCAACAGTTTTCAAAAATCATATATTTTGATAGTGTGGAGCTAGGATGTAAGTCATCATCGTTGTTACTGACGACTTATGCCTCACAGGCTTTTTCCACTTCAACTGAAACGCACTCAAAGGAAAACTATTCTGTTTTTCCTTATTTCCTGTCCTACACTGGGGGTGGTTAGAGCTCACAGCGGGTCATCTACTAATCAGAAGGTTGGTCTGCAAGCCAAATATCATTGGGCAAGATACTAACCCCATGTCGGGTGCATTCAAGTTACTCTCATGCATCAGGTAAGCAGAAAAGTACTAGATAAGAACCAGTCCATTTATACTCCATATCCTATTCTAGTCGATGATGCTCATATTGAACAATAAATAATAATATTCTGGTCTTGGATCTTTCTTATGTCAGTGAAAGGAAATGTCTTTAATATTCAGGCAAACAGCTCTGATTGTGAGCATAAATGAAAGAAAAAGCTGAGATTGTTGGCTAACAAATTGCCAGTGATCATCACCAGTCTCATCCTCCTTTCTGACCTTAATTTACAAATGAATATCATGGTATATACAATATGACTTTAAAACCGGTGAACGAGACAATAAACTTATCAGAAACGCGGTTACTCGAGACAGATCAAACATGCCAAGAGTGTTTTTCTCATAAACATCTATACATTTGTTGACATCACTAGAATGTTTTGCAGGTAAGAAGGTTAAATAAATTTGATTGAGTTTTGATTCGGGTTGTATCCTGGACAGTTGATAAAAAATAATTCTACATAGTTTTATACTGATAAACACCAAATAAGAGTGGACATATCTTATACAGTGCACCTGGACGATGTCTCTCTCAGCAAAGCGTCCCCTGGAGGAAACTCTGACCTCATCTCCATCCAGCTCCTCCATAGCTGAAGACAATAAAAACAACATATTTACTGGTAAAAATATTGCATGACTTACATGTACAATGGAAAAGCTGAGCTGGAATTTTTTCCACACGCACAACAGAAAATCGTCTAAATCCAGATATATTAGTTCTAGTACGCTTAATGTTTGTGAAAATGATTAAAGTGGTAATTTTATCTCAATTATTTTGAGTAGAAATGTCTTAATTCACTCATGTTAACCACAGTTTAGTATGTTTGCTTTAGATCAAATGAGTGATTGAATTCCTGCATAAAAATTATGTTTTTTTCATTATTTATTTTTAATGGTTAGACAAGAAAATCAGACGATACATTTATACAACTTGGCCTTTAATATAGCACGTTTAGCAGTACCAACTACAATAAAATACAGCTTTAACATACAACAATATTTCCTCAGTAAGATGAGCATATGTCAAATACACCTTGCTTTTTTCACCTGTAGCTGCATTAACACAACGTCTCTTAGGACGAACATATTCTAACAGTTGAGCTGCTTTTTAACACTAAACATGTCAGTAATGTTCTGTACTCTTCCTCCAAACCACAATAAACAAACGCTCCCCTATTCACAAGGATTTTCCACAGTGGGTAGGTCTGCATATTTAATTTGGCAGATTTTTACACTGGATGCTCTTCCTCCTGCAACCTCCAAGGGATTTGTTTAAATGTATAAAACCACTACACTATGAAGCCACAGCAGTACTTAAAAATGTGGCTGAAGAAATCTTCATAGTGACTACAATTCAAGAAATATTAGTGCTTCAGTTCCTTGATGTGACCAAGTTTGTAGATTTGTAAAAACCATGTTCTGTACCTTTTCATCAAGCTCTTCTTGTGTGTGTTGACCAAATGATTAAAATAACAAGCAAACATTATAATCTTAATACATTTTATTATATATTTGACTGAATACATACAATTCCACTCACTTGTCATATCCTTAATTATATTAGAAATTTGGCCAAAATATTGTTGCAATGGACCAAACTGTCAGATTGGTCATCAGGACCAATTTACACTTGGAAGGATCTGTCTAGAAAGGTTGGTCCTGGGTGAGGGGCCTGATTAAGAGTCATTTAGATAAACCCTTATGATAAAAACGCACAATTAAACATGGCTACCCTACCTGGAATAATTCTGGGGTGCCAGTCTGGAGCCTGCCCTGGTGGCTGGGCCTTAGGCCAAAGCATTACGTGGGCCCACCCTTCTGTGGGCTCACCGCTCGCAGGTGGTGCTTTAGGCATTTGATGCTAGCACTTGGTGCACAGTCGATCATAGCACTGAAGGCTTTGGAGAGGAGGTGCTGGTGTTCCAGTCCCTAGCTGACAACTCTGGCTTTAGGAACATGGAAGGTCACCTCTCTGGTGGGAAGGAGCCTGAGCTAGTGCGTGTAGAACTGTGGCTGTAAGATGTCATGGTATTAACCCCTCAACCAGAAGGTTCAGATGTACACTGGTGGTGAAGAGAGCCATCGAGATGAAAAAGTAGTCCTATCCAGCTTAGGACTGGAGTAAAAATTCACCGTGAGTCCCTTGGAGTGGAATTTGTGGCCCAGCAGAGGTATTATTACTCAGCCTGCTGGCAGACGGAGAATGGATCATCTGCCTGCATCTGAGTCATGCAAAGTATGTGGTACAACCGGCCTGTGGACCAGTTGCTGGTCTAAAACAGCATATGTTGATCTTTGAAATTTCTTTTGTCCTCCTCCCATTCCTGTTGAAATCTGCTGTTTTAACCAAGTAGGCCCTGTGGACTCTTCCTGGTAGGACATTCCCCTGAATGTAGCATTTGGCAGATGCACAGGTTATCTGCTTCCAGCAACACGCACTTAGTACTTTGGAAGACTACATGGGAGCATGTCTAGGGTGGCTGAAAACCTCCCCCCCTGTCCAAATGCGAATGTATGTTAGATGGACGCGTTTGCAGGACCATAAACTATGCTTAAAGTCCTAGATGTTGCAGGGCTGTCTTACTTAACACTCTGTAACTTCGCTTGGAGGCTGAGGACAGTCTCTCTGAATTGATCGACTGGGATTGTGGCCAACTTCTTCAGGAAGGGGTTAGGGTTAAATTGAGATGAATAGCCAATTATTTTGGGCCATTTGGTCCTTGTCCATCTATAGTGACAGCTTGGTTTTCATTGCTGGCAGTACGTCAGACCTGTTTTTGGTGAGAGTTGGAGTTCACCAGGGCTCCTTTTGTCACTGATTCTGTTCATACATGTCCAGTTGCAGCAAAGTGGCAGATGGTCTCTGGCAGGATCAGACTATGTGGTTCTTCTGACCTCATCAGGAGGTGACATCCAGCGTGCACTAGGATGATTTGCAGAGTGGTTGAAAAAGGCTGGATTGCCCATTCTGGGAGGAGTTGATGGCCCAAATGGAGGAGTTTGGGATTATCTGGGTCTTGTTCATGAGTGAAGTGAGAGTGGAGCCGAAACTGACAGACAGGAACGGTAGAGTGTCAGTGGTGTGGCAGACAGCTATTGATGACCTATGGTCACATGAGGTCTTAGGTGCAAGCAGTGAAAATGAACTTCCTCCTCATCCGAGAGGATGAGTTCAGTCATTTGGGAGGAGCTCAGGGTAGAGCTGTTCCTGCTCCACATCGAAAGGAGCTAGTTGATGTGGTCTGAGCATCTGACAAGAGTGCCCCCTCATCGTCACCCAGGTGAGACATTCAGGGGCATGTCCTACCAGGAAGAGTCCACAGAGCAGACCCTGACATGCTGGAGAGATTATACCTCTTGTTTGGTTTGGGAACTAGTCTCCTTGAATGAGCTGGAGGTGCTCTGGGCATCTCTGCAAAGACTGCCCCTGATATTCAGAGCCAAATAAAGGGGAGAAAATGCAGTGGTGACAATGACATACTGTATACAAATAGTTACCTAATAGTTAAAACATGCAGCTGTTGATTATGTGATTCTACTTTGTAAACCAGAAAACAGCTGAGGTAAAAGACCCAGCTGTACAGTGAAATTGTGTCAAGTGTTGTAGTAGGATGGGGCATCCGTCTGTTACAGACAGAAATAAATGACAATAACAAAGACCACAGCATTCATTCACTGGTGTAAGGACGGCTTTTAGTTTTACAAAAGGACCTGAAATGGGTGCATTCAAATAATAACCTTCTAAATAAATAGGTTTGTTTTTTTAACACATACATTTAAATCTAAATTTCATTAAAATTACTTTAACATTTGAAGCAGATAAACAAAAGAAAGCTGACTGTGTTTAAACTTAATTTAGCTCCATTATTTAGAATTTAGACAAAATTCTTAGTTAACTTTTGCCGACTGTTTAAATAATGTTTGCTTTAAACAATTTGCATTGCATAATTATTAAAAAGTTTGACGTATAAATAATTTCCTACGCCTGAAACAGACGAACATTGTGACAAGACTGCTGTTATACACGTTACACTCGCACTTTCAGACAGCCTACAGAAATACTTTCACATACATATTTTCACAGCTGTAGTGTTTTTTGTGTTTAATTTATAATATTAACCATAAATACTGTCAAGAACAATCTGTCTAAAATGCTGAGACAGGAGTAAAGGTTAAACTATCAATCAGCAGACTTGTGTTCTGTCCACAAACTAAGAAAACAAAGTTTGTGTGTAATGGGAAAGACACTGAATGGCAATGAAAATAAGACCAGCATCAAGTTTAAAAAGCAGCAACGTTAATAAAGATTTAGTCTGCATTACATCCAGAGGTTAAAGTGTTGTAGTTTTCTGTTATTTAGCACTGAGTTTAGTTGTGGTTTTGCTTCTATTTCTCTTGTCGATGTGTCTGATCCCCCTTTTCTGTTTACATGTTTCCCTCCTTGTGTTTTATTCCATGTCTCCCCTGTCTGTCTTTGTGTATGTTTTTTCCAGCCTGTCCTGTCCTCTCGCCTCTCCTTTTGTGTCTCATCTTAATTTTTCTGTATTTCACTCTTTGTGTCTCCTCCCTTTGTCTCCCCAGTCTTTCTTGTTACCCTTGTGCATTCCCTCCTCCCAGCCTCGTGTCAAGCCGTGTATTCTTGTCTCCGTCTTGCTTATCCGCCCCGTGTGTTTCCTCTTAAGATTTATGGTGTGAGTTGTAATTGGTCCTCTTTCAGGCTGTCTGTTAACCGTCCTTTGTGTTTCCATGTCTTCAAGTTATCCAAATATTTCCATGTCTTAGTTTTCCCAGTTTAGGTATTATGATCAGCTCTTGCCTAGTTTATTTTCTCGTTTGGTTTTGAATCAGTCACAATAAAGGCTCGCTTTTTGTTACGTTCAGTCTTTGCGTTGTCTGCTTTTGGGTCCACATCACAACCTCCACACAGTCTGCAGTCCAGCCTGTGACAAAGTTTTACCTTACGACAATGACATACAACAGTGCTGTGCTAATAGAATCAGGTGACCTCTTTAATGTCACAGAAGGCTATATTGTAACAACAGAAGCATCCAGATCAGTGCCCTACCAAATGAAATTAATAAAACATATCCTGTATACTCAGGATATGTGCTGTTAATTACACTCAAACAAGTCATAGTCAGTAGAAAGAATTCAGCGATAAAAGTTGACTCACTTCCAGAGTAAACAACATTAATTACATCTCACAGGAAAAAGAGAAGAAGTTCACTTGGAGTACTTTTTGTTTTCCTTTTGACTTGTTATCTAAACAATATGCCAGACAGTTTTGTGTTGTTTTTTGTTTCCCTGCCTATATGACTGGATTCTAGTGTGTAAATATAAAGTTTGGCTGTGAAAGAACTTCATTAGGTTTATTTACACTTTTATCTCGTGAAGAAAGATGACAAATATGACTATAACAGCTCCTGATTCTTCCCAAATCTTTTTGTATTTTTTCCAAATCCCAAACCTTCAACCCAAACTGATATAAACTAACACCAGTGAGAACACAAGCGCAGATCTGGCTACTGACAAGTCATTCAGTTGTCCTCAGGGACTGACAAATATATGAGAGCAAAGCTAGTTTGGTCTT